GTGGGGCGGCCACCCCGTCGCGGCCGCGCGCTGGGAAACCTGGCGCGGCTGCCAGGTTGTCGGCGGGTCTTTACAATGGCTCTGGAAAAACCTAGCCTTTGCCGTAAAGGCTTTCTCGGCAGGGGGGCTGCAAAACCGGGGATGGTTACCGGAAATGAACCGCGCGATCGGGCCCCTTCACGCCCACTTAGCTTGTGGGTTCCGCAGTCTTTACCGGACAAAAGGGCACCTTCTCCATAGCACAGCACCTCTTCCTCCTCTCCCGTCTGTGGCTCCTAGTTTTCTGACTTCATTCTTGCTCCCTGCAAGTGTGCTCCACACTCCGTGTGGGGCCGCATCTGAAATCAGCCCGCCTGAATTTGGGTTGGAGGGGTGAGGCCGGTCAGATAGGAAACTTGGGGTTCATATTCTAAGAAGGTAAAAGTCGAGTGTTTACGATGGTGGGGGTAGTTCTGCGACCCTTCCCTGCCTTGGTAGGAGTGCCTGATGTCTTTATTGTAATAGATACTTGAGCGGTGTTTTCAGCTTTCTATAAAAAGTGATTCTAACGTTGAGAAAGGTGGTGTCCTGATTTTTATCGTCATGGGTTACTTTCCGTACTCTTTATAGTTAACAGCCAGTACTAGTGTATCGTAGGCACATAATGTGATGAATGATAAATACTTAACAATATCTGAATAACGTGTATCTTTCATAATAGTAACTTTAACAGTGGATATTTTTCTTGTAACTCTTAACAAGTGCTACAAACGTTTCGACTATCCTAGCGGGTAGCATGATTTGTGAACAGTCTTCTAATTAAAAAGTAATTTGTCAACTATTTGCATGAACACGTGGAGGGCATGCCTTGTAGGCAGTTTCTTTTTTTCCGTATATAACCAGCTTTGTTGATATAACTCACATCAGACAGTGTTAACGTCAGAAAGCTGGTTGAATTTATTATATTAGCATTGACACACCTTTTTCTTGCAGAAAAAGAACAGCAAGAAGCAATTGAACATATTGATGAAGTACAAAATGAAATAGACAGGTAAAGTTTTTACTTTGGAGAAGTTTTTCTGAAATGTCTGGCTAAGTGGAGATGATTATAACTTAGTTGGAAATATGAAGTTAGTGTTATTTTTCTGTGAAACATTTGTATGTCACCAAAAAAAGCTTTCGATGACAGTACATTGACCTTGTAAAGACCTGGTTTGTTTTCAGAGGCTACAGTTGTCTGAATTGTGGTGCATGGAATTCTGACACTTTAACATTGTGGCATCAGTGTTACTCTGACTTGCCTTATAACTTTGTTACTTGATTAGCAGGCTTCCCGGAGGCCGCGCCGCCACCCCCCTCCTGCTCTGCTTGAGGGAACCAATTGAAGTTAGCCTGGTAATAGAGTAGTCGAAGTAAATATACAATGTTACCAAAATGCTCAGTTTGGGCACTTAAGAACTGTCAAATATTGAGTGCCTATTGGTAACGTAAATCAAATTGCCATCTTAGTTTTGACTTGTTTATAGCTACAAAAATCTAGGTGATTTGGGTATTATGAATAGGTACTTTGCACTGTTCTCAAGCTAACATCAGTAAATATTTGGTAGGCTCAGCAATTTTTGTATTTGTCAAATACTATCACTGTCAACATGTCTTTTCATTTGCTTCAGACTTAATGAACAAGCCAGTGAGGAGATTTTGAAAGTAGAACAGAAATATAACAAACTCCGCCAACCATTTTTTCAGAAGAGGTCAGAATTGATCGCCAAAATCCCAAATTTTTGGGTAACAACATTTGTCAACCATCCACAAGGTATGTCATGGCAGAGCATTACTAAAGAGTATGTGGTGTCCACTTGTTAAGGAGAAGAGGGATCTTGGTTGAGGACTTGGTCCAACACATTGGTTACATGCAGAAGTTGGAACAGAGAGGGCAGGCTTGTAATTAGTATTTTCTGTTTAGAAGAGACTATATTCTAGCTGATTCCCTTCAGTTACTTGATTAAAAAAAGTGACAGCTCTGACGTTCTGGGCCATTTGGTTTTCAGTTAGTGGATTTATGAAACCAAAGGTGCTCACTAAATCTGGAAACATTTAGAAGTGCTTTAATAAGCACTTGAGTTGTATGTTAATGCTCGTCTATTTAATATTCATTTGACCTGTAATTTGCTGGTCTAGTGTCTGCACTGCTTGGGGAAGAAGATGAAGAGGCACTGCATTATTTGACAAGAGTTGAAGTGACAGAATTTGAAGATATTAAATCAGGTTACAGAATAGATTTTGTAAGTATCAGTAATGCATCTTGTTGGCCACTATAGAAATTAACTTGAGCTTTGGTTACAAGAGCTGTTTGTATTGATTTCTAATCCTTTAATCATTTATTATAGTATTTTGATGAAAATCCTTACTTCGAAAATAAAGTTCTCTCCAAAGAATTTCATCTGAATGAGAGTGGTGATCCATCTTCAAAGTCCACCGAAATCAAATGGAAATCTGGAAAGGTATTTGAGGAATTGTTGGGTAAAAATACCTTTTTGCGTATTTTTGGTTTAGTTGAATCATTCACCAATACTTGGTGCTTTGGTAATGTGTTAAATGCAGATCCTTAGTATAAAAAACTCCAGTGTGTTGAAGTCAAATATAGTATATCTTTAAACCAAATTTTTAAAGAAAGGGACTAAATTTTTTTGGTTTCTACATTGGTGGCTCAGCTTTTAAAAGTAGCCTGCTGCTTGCCAAATTATTTGTCTGCATTTAATTAATAAATACATAATAAGTTATACTGTCTTATGGTAGTGGCTGTTAAAGTGGAACTAATTTTATGAAGAAGCTAAATTTAGATGGTACCTTTTTGGAAAAGACTTATCATACAAATTTGACAATAGTCTTTGTAGACCTAAAATTCTAGGACTTCTTTTTCTTTACATTTTATAATTTTAAATAAGAATGATAGTATAGATAACATACTCATGTCCCGTTTTTGTTCTGCTTTCTGGTTAAAAATCTTATTGTTTAAGTTATAGGGAACGTAGATGTTTTAGAGTGCCGAGAGCCTTTGTCAAAAGTTCTTCAATCTTCATTTAGGATTTAACGAAACGTTCAAGTCAAACGCAGAATAAAGCCAGCAGGAAGAGACAGCATGAGGAACCAGAGAGCTTCTTTACCTGGTTTACCGACCATTCTGATGCAGGTGCAGATGAGTTAGGAGAAGTCATCAAAGATGATATTTGGCCAAATCCATTACAGTACTACTTGGTAAGCCGAAGATGTTCTTTTATTCAAGGTTGCACTTGTCTCATTTCTTCGGAAATGAGTTAAGATAATTCTTGGTTTTTGAAGGTTCCTGACATGGATGATGAAGAAGGGGAAGGAGAAGAAGATGATGATGATGATGAAGAAGAAGAAGGGTTGGAAGATATCGATGAGGAAGGGGATGAGGATGAAGGTGAAGAAGACGAAGACGATGATGAAGGGGAAGAAGGAGAGGTAAAAGAATTTGGTTAAGTAAAAAGTAATCTTTAAAGAATTCACTATGTTACTTTGGAGGTTATGTATCTTGTATAATAGAACTGGCTCAACTAATTATGGGGGGTTTTGTAGAAAAGGTAAGCTATTGTCCAAGATTGGAAGACATTTTGATAAGATCGTTTTATCAGATTTAACTAGTTCTGCTTTTGTGGTTTGTTTTTATGACTACTACATTCTATACTCTTGCCAGTACTTTAGAGCAAGTGATACGGACAGTGCAGCTGGTCAAATTCTGAGAAGTTTCCCAAATAACAAACATTTGCATGTTTTGGACAAACTAAAAGTTACTTATAGTCCGATTGGGATAGATTGGTTTTGGGTTTGGATTATTTGGTTAGTGCTGAAAAGTTTATCTGAAGCAACATCACTGGGTCTTTCAGTCGAGATTTGACGCAGTGTTGTTTAGGTTCATAAAATTAAGTGTCTCGAGGCATGTCAGCATGTTTTGTGGAGGCCGTCACAGTCCCTGTGAGTGTTGGAGAATGACATTAGAATTAACCCTAAAGAGTAAAAGAGTAACTGTCCACTTTTTTCTTACAGGAAGATGAAGGAGAAGATGACTAATGGAACACTGATGGATTCCAACCTTTTTAATTTTCTCCAGTCCCTGGGAGCAAGTTGCAGTCTTTTTTTTTTCTCCCCCCTCCTCTTGTGCTCAGTCTCCCTGTTTTTGAGGTCTCTTTTCTCTCCTTTACACCCTGGTTCTCACCTTATTGGGGGAAATACCTAGAGCAGAATACAGTGAGAAAAGAACCTCTGCCCCTTTCTGTTCCAAATTCATTTTTATCCCTTCCTGTCTCAACAAAAACTATGGAATCAACAACACCGTGTTCTGTGGGAAAAAAGAAAAACCTTCTGCTCCCTTAGCTCTGCTGGAAGCTGGAGGGTGCTAGGCCCCTGTGTAGTAGTGCATAGAATTCTAGCTTTTTTCCTCCTTTCTCTGTATATTGGGCTCAGAGATTACACTGTGTCTCTATGTGAATATGGACAGTTAGCATTTACCAACATGTATCTGTCTACTTTCTCTTGTTTAAAAAAAAGAAAAAAAAAAAACAAAAAAAATGGGGTTATAGAAGGTCAGCAAAGGGTGGGTTTGAGATGTTTGGGTGGGTTATGTGGGCATTTTGACAACATGGCTTCTCCTTTGGCATGTTTAATTGTGATGTTTAACGGACATCCTTGCAGTTTAAGATGACACTTTTAAAATAAAATTCTCTCCTAATGATGACTTGAGCCCTGCCACTCGATGGGAGAATCAGCAGAACCTGTAGGATCTTATTCGGAATTGACATTCTCTATTGTAATTTTGTTCCTGTTTATTTTTAAATTTTCTTTTTGTTTCACTGGAAAGGAAAGATGCTCAGTTTTAAACGTTAAAAGTGTACAAGTTGCTTTGTTACAATAAAACTAAATGTGTACACAAAGGATTTGATGCTTTTCTCTCAGAACAGGTTTGACTTGTATAACATATTGTCAAACTTTGTCACCCTAACTCCGTATTTTTTGATACGCACTTTGCAGGATGACCTCAGGGCTACGTGGATTGAGTAAAGGGATTTGAATCAATGTATTAATGTCTCCATAGCTGGGAAACATCATGGGTACAATTTGCCATCAGTTTCTGAAAAATTTCAAATCATTGGGATACCTGATTGCTCAAAACTCAGTTCTGAGTGTGTTGTACCCTTAATTTGTATTGCAAATTGGCATTTTTAAAAACGGGCCTTTATTTACCTGGATATAATAGTGCCTGCCACCACCATCAGACAGACCTGGTGCTCTAATGCCGTTACACACGAGGCAATTGCTGGCATGTCTTTGTTGGCACTGTAAAACATGGCCTAGGAGACAGGCTCTCAGAGTAAGAAGTCCGTGTTGGTGGTAAGAAACTCAGGTCAGGAGTACTTTTGTCTCTAAGTACCAGCTATTAGCGTATAGTTCTCAAATGAGACCCGTCTGTGTGAATCTGAGTGAGATGATGGACTCTGCTCTGTCTGCTAATTGCCGTTGTGCATAGAGTAACATTTTGAGAAGCTACCTAATGCCTAAGCTTTTTAATGCTGTAAAATAATAGCTAAAATTAAATGCCACTTTTTCAGAGTTGAATTAATGGACAGCCTGGTCAAATTCAAAGCTTTTTGATGTATAAAACTTTATAAATGGAACTATTCCATCAATAGGCAAAGTGTAATGAAAACCTATCTAGATGGATAGTATGTAATTTCTGCACAGGTCTGTTTAGTAAATACATCACTGTATACTGGTCAGGAATCTTGCTCCAATAAAGGAACATAAAGATTTGTTTTGACTGGGGTCATTCTCCTTGTTTTGTAGAGAAATGTTTCTTGCTTTCGGATTTAGATAAGCTAATTTTTTTGTCTTGTTATGTGTGTTCATAGTGACGGGAGGGGCGGAACTTAAATAGTTAAGCAGTAAGTATAGCGCAGGTAACATTTCGTGAAAAGGTATATATAAGATGCAGGCATGTGTTACTATGTTACCTGGAATGTAAGTTCCTGAAGGGATTGGGTATTTTGATTTTGAAGTCTAAGCATTTGTAAAGGCCTTTTCACAAGTGGAAAAAAAGTAACCTGATTTAATACACATTAAGGAATCCTATGATTTTTTGTTTGTTTCACAAAGTTACAGCTTACCAAAAATGGATTTTTATGTGCTGGTGAGATCGCGGTACCATCAGGTTATAGGTCACGTTCAATGGAATTTCATAATGTTTTTATTTGGGGAATGCAGTCAAAAACGAAGTCCCTAAAAGTAACTTATTCATAATTATTGAGGTCACCTTGTAGAGCCCCCTGTTCCTGCAGGTCTCATGGAGTTACTAGGCTGTGGGAAAACAAAGTGGCAGCATTAGTGTACAGAGTAGCTAGTATGCTTTGTGCACAATTGCAAGGGGGCGTTCTCGGGCTGGCCCATAGACAAGTATGTATTGGAAAGTGCCAGACGAAATGGTTGAAAACTCCTTTGCTACAGGACGTTAAAAAGAAAAGAGCAGGTATAGTGGCTGTTCAGAGTTTCTCTGGGAAGAGGGCATCCAATGTGCTAGGCTTAGCTTAGGGGAACTTTACGTAAATTGGCATAGAGGCAGTAACTTAAAATGTGTCGTAACATTAATTTCAAAACCTTAAGGAATATTTCTATTTTAGACCATCCCTGCAGTTGAGGTTAATGTTGGTTTCTCCAATGATGGCCTGGTTTCTAAAAGACAAGTATTCCTTCCACGATAGGCCCTTATTATTACACCCAACTCAGGCTCTAAAATGTAGACCTGGTGTCTTGTTGGGCCGACACATTGGCTTTACATCTGGCCGCCTTCGCTTGCGTGTAGCCGTCAGGATGTGAAAGGTATGAGTTTTTGACTTGATGGATTTGGGGGACCTTTTGGGCTTTAGAGGATTCCTGGACAATTGTGTTCCTTAATTGATTTGGTAATCTTTACTGCTTTATAACAATTAGTTTCACAGTTTTACTTGGTCCCAGAAACAGTTTTGGTTTTTCTACCTTTTTTGTTAGATTTTTGCTATGAACCCTTCCTGGCAATTGCAAGAACGGAATTCTGTTGCAAAGGGTGAAGACTTTAAAGATTGCCTGAAGACTTGAAACAAGTTCTTTAGGAGATGAATGCATAGCCTTTCCAATTATTTCAAGAGGACAACATCTTGCTTTGCAAAGTCTGTCCACGCCCAGCAGTGATCATTCCCTTTTGAATATATGGCTGTGTTCATTGAAGACTCACAGGTTTGCTTTTTAACAGGTCTGAAGGAGAGGACTGCAGCTTTGTGATGAGAACAGTCGAGAGGACTTTTTTTTAAAAAGTGGAGAGTGTGTGCCATCTTGGTTAGTTGGTGACACTGTACTTAGATACTACTCAGGGAAGGGAAATCTAAATGTGTATAGATTGTTTGCAGTGCTGAGGATAAAGTATATAGAAACGGGAAAATGCTTCCTTGCTAGGAATGTACCCTGCTGGGAAGAAATTTGTGTTCCTTTCAGGTTGATGGTTATTACACAGAGTTGGTTTTCACTATCTGCTATCCACTGGATGTTGAATGTGAACGTCAGTTTCCCTAAGAATTACAGTTTCATTAAGCACCATCAGTCTGGAACTTTGTTTCCCTGTAGTTTTGCCCGGCCTGGGTTTATTAGGAAAGTTGGTTGAATTCTAGTTCTAAACTTCATGAGGCAGTGAAATCTCAGCTAACTTGGAAAGTAATTTCAAGTTCTTCGACATAGTTTAGCTTTCTGGCTGTAGGAGGGGATAAATGATCCTCAAGATGGTAAATAAACCATCCTTCTGCAGGGGAAGCTTTGGCTAGTTTGAAAAAACCCATTCATGGTTTCCCTAAAACCTATGACCTGCAGTCAGAAGCTGATAGTCTTACATCTAAATTATGGTTAACATTCAGCTCAGGGCAGTTTGATAATAACCTCCACTTAAAAGAGCCTACTATGTGCTGGGCTAGCCTACTACTCTAATATGTATGTACATGAACGTCCTGGCCTGCCTCTGGTTATGAAGTGTAGGCATCTCCTCCACTGAACCAAGTTACCTTTGTATTTGTTGATGCTGCTTAGTTGATTTCCCGTTGCAGGGGAACCTACTTTCTCCAATCTGAGGGAGGTGGTCAGAGCAAAGTGGAACTGACATGGTTTTCTCAGTAAAAGCACGTAGGGCACCTATTCCAAATCAGCAAATGAGCCACCTTCAATATTTGACCCTTATCTTCTGACCCCTTAGACATGGCTCTTCAGCGAAGCCATGACACAAGGCGTTGGTGAGCACTGGCTGCCGAGAAGTGGCTAGACAGCCCTAGACGAGGCAGTGAAGACCAAGGACCCCATACACAGGCAAAATCCATTGCCAGGACAGCTAGTGCTGGCTGGTTACCTAACTGAGATAGTGGCTATTTCTCAGGGTGTATCTTCTCTTCAGATGGGGCTCTTTATAACAGCGGTGGAACAGTGAGTGGCTCTGGCCTACCCGAAAGCTCCAATCGGTTCAAGTGCTGGGGGCCTGGGAGACATTTTGGTTGGTTTGTAATTTAGCATAACTTGGGTGAGGGTTTACTTTTTTCAGACGCGGGTACGTTCTTCTAGTGACTAGACAGGGCCAAGACTTTGTGGGGGCGACGGGTTTGGGATTAGCCATTTTCACACCAATGTCATCCGAGATGGAGAGAAATTTAGGGACGGCGCCAGGTGGTGGTGGGGTTCCAAGGAAGAGAAGGCAGACCTACCTGGAGTGGGCCCGCCACACAGGTAGCGCCCTGCGGCCGGCAGGCGGCGCTGTCCCCACTCGGACCCGCTCCTCAGCGCGCGCGGCGGGGCAACCAGAGATCCCCAGCCCGGGAGATGTCCCTCCCTGCTTTTCTGTTTAGGGGCGGCGGTCAGCGCCGTACACGGCGGGAACTGCGGCCTCCGAAGGGGTGCTGGGTCCCAAATCCCGCGGGACGTCGGATCCAGGGGGAGGCGCTGTGGCCTCGGGTTCAAGAGTGGGGTCCGGAGCGCCGATCTGGCATGGCCGAGAGGCGGCGCTGATCCCAGGTCCCCGGTGGGCCAGCGGACCTCGGGAGGGGGCGCAGGATCCCGCGGTTCCGGCGCCGCTTCCCGGGAAGTTTCAAGTTTGAAAGTCTTGGCGGAGGGGCCGCGGCTTCCGGAACCGGAGTGGTGGAGAGAAGGGGCCGAGCGGCGGGAGCGGCGCCATGGAGGAGGGGGCGCCGCGGCAGGT